GTAGAAGTGGAGGATAGGGGCCAGAGGGGCAGACGACAGAGTCCAACGATGGGAGAAAAAAAAACAAGAAGATAGCTCCCGATCATGGCACTGCTTATTCTGGTGCGATAAAGGGAATGTGCGATGAGTAGACTAGTGAAGATACTCGTACCCGCTGAAGTGGCAGGTGTCGTGTCGGAGCAAAGGCCTCCTCATGGATATTATGGTGTTACTCTTGTAGGGTTAGCTCCGGATGGTGGCTTGGTTGTGAGCAGAGGAGGGCGAGTCCAGACAGCTCTTGCAGAGGCTCCGCCAAATGCGGCCAACTACCTCTGTGGGGGTGTACTTGCGGAACACATCATAACCCGAACCGTAACATATCATGATGACAGTCAGTAGTTCTTACAGGAGGGCAGAAAAAGATAGGAAGAAACGTTCTACAGCACTAGCGCCCACGATTTACCCGTCATGTCCTGGCACCACCTGCTATGTAGCAGCAAGTTTCCTTGCCCGCCGCGGACGGCCCTGCCTCGGAGCACGTTCCTATGCATAGCAGTATAGTCTATTCCGTCCAAAAGATTGTCAGACTAGGTTTGTTTGAGGGGTTGGACCACTCTGCATACATCTTCACAATTGTCTGCAGCAATTATCAACAGCTTGAAGACGCCGTCCACCCACGTCCTGCTGCACGTGGTCGTCGGCAGACCATTGGTCTGAGGTCCTCCGTCGTGTGGGCAACCTCGCGGGGTGCTGACGACTTGGTCGAAGGCAATGGTCGACGGGAATTTTCCAGAGGAAACTTCCTGGCTACTCCACCAGAGCTACAGTGTGTGTGTGTGTGCTTTTATTATTAGCATCGACCGCGCTAGCCGGCTGACCAATGAAAAGGCGTCACTCTTAGTGCGGTAAAAATGTGTGTGTTTTTATTATTAGCATCGACCGCGCTAACCGGCTGACCAATGAAAAGACGTCAGTCTCAGTGCGGTTGAAAACACGAAACACTTTTATCTACCATGAACTGGGACCCCGTGAGGGGGCAGCATGGGGGAGGCTGAACTATCCTTCGGATCAAAAACAGAAACAGCAGCAACAGATGAAAACTGCACCTGTCTACCAAGGCTATTACCTAGTACTCGAGTTCGTTTAGGAGTTCTTTCACCAGTGTACTCCTTGTTTTCGCTACCATCATTCTGATCCTCATTTTGACAAGAAGAATCTCTGGGCAGTTCTTCCCTAGCCCTACGTTTCTTGTTGTGGGGAAGGTCATCTGGCTCAAACCCTTTGCTCTCTTCCACTCCTCCATGTTTTCATGCTCCATCGTCGTCTTCGTCCTCCTTTCTTCCCTTTCCCTTTCCTTGGTCTTCGTCACTCCCAAAATAATAACCCTCACTACTATCGTTGCCGCAGAGATCCCAACCGATTGGCCCTGGTGGAAGTTGGTCGATCAGTAGCCCATGACGTTTGAACACATCGCGAGTTCGCATTGACAGAAAACGAGCTAGCTCGAAGGTAAATCGTCTCCGAATCCTGTTAGTATGAAACGCTTTCAGGCGAACTAAGGCTCTTTCGTCTTCAAAATCCCCCCGGCAAAGCTTCGTGCGCCAAGTGGTTGGCGATAGCAACGATGAGTCGATTGGTGCCTTTGCCAAGACCACCATTCGTTGAAAAAGCAGCAGTAAGGAGGGTAGATCTAGACGGGTTGAAAGTTCCCGCATAGTGATTTGCCTTACTTGCAGCTCGATCTTCGAGGGCGGATCCTGGCTTAAGGATCGACTTGTCGATGCTTCGACCCGCGGATGGGTTGACGACTGTTACGTCTATGAGAATGGACTTGGTGCAGAGTTCCTCTTGCTTCTCTCCTGCGTGTCATCCTGGGGGATTACCAAAGCTATCTTGTATAGCCCCTTTCCCCTACCAGTGCCTGTGGTAAAAGGGGAAGAATCCTCAACGGCGATGGGCATATGGCACTCGCGCAGTGTCTTGAGGACTACTCGAACCATCCTGTTATGGAGGAAGGTTGAGGCGCCGGTCTTGGTGCAGACGAGGGAGTGGGCTCGGCTCAAGCGGTCCTTGCATGGTAACAATGCACCTGCACCACAAAGTTTGCCTGTGTTGCAGTCTGCTCGATCGTGACTCCCCAGTACACGACCGATTGACTCTCGATATAGATCAGGCAGCATTCTTTCATCTGCTGACAACCCTTGCGTTGTCAACCACGACAAAACTCCCTTGCCTTTCGCTTCCTCCAAGCGGATCAACGCCCTCTTCTTTGGCGTTTCCTCGCCTACTACTTTCTGCAAGTCTGTCTCCACCATGTGGCGCACTGCTGCATGAAGAGGTTTCGAAAGGAGAGCTTGGGCTCCAAAGACTTGGTAGTGTTGACCAAATTCATTTCGGCTGTAGGTGGACGGTGGTTGATATTCTACGTCAGGTTTTCCATCTTCACTGGGTTTTCACGCCTTCCCTGCTTCCAACGGGTAAACTCCTTTGAGGTCGGGGGTTAACTCATCACTTGTGGCAAGTTTAGCCCATGACTGCCCAACAGCTTTTTCAAGCTTGTCTTTGGTGATGATTTCCTCTAGCTTCTTCAGCGAGTCAATCAGAGCCAATCCTGTCGGTAGCTGGGCAAGCCGGGGTAGACATTGCTCAACTGTGTATCCTGTCGATGCTTGCACTGACTTGGAGAACACCAGCGCTTGCCCTGCCACAAAAGCCGATTCTCGAATGAGAACATTGCTCGTGATTCCTAGTCCTCCTTCTCGCATGGGTAGGTGCACCTGCGCCCGAGCTGTCCCTTTGAAGAAATCTACCTCCTCGCTCTTCGTCGGGTCTGCTCGTACTGCTTTGACTGTTGGTATTCTCATGCTGTCGGCCGTCTTGCCACGATCTTACTCATTGCCCACATCATCATGTTGTCATGTATTTTGCGGCAGAGTTGGTGATAGACGGTGCAATCGTCCTCAGCAGATGGAACAAACGTGGCACACCAGATAAACGCAGCAGTTGATAGCTGGCTTGAGGGTCGTCAAGCGTTGCTAGGCGGAGTATCAATTCCGCCGGGTCACCACGGGCGATTTTGGAAACGAAATTCCTCTGGAACTCCTCTGTTCCTACTGGGATCCCGACAACTGGCATGCCACCTTCAGCAACTGACAGACCAATTTTCGTCAATTGTTGCTGTTCGTCGTTTGTCAAAGAGGACATGCAAAGACCTTCCGGGAAAAGCACTTTGGATTTCGGGAGACTGAGCTCAATGCCTTTTTGGGAGAGACGTTCCTGAATCCAATTCGTTACAGTGGATATGGCCTGCATGTTCCTAGCCAAACCTGGTGGAAGATGTGCTTGGAGGTCGTCGACGTATCCGATGAGTTTGACTCCTGGCACTGGTGGCTTGTTGTTGAACTCTTTCATGATATCAAGAAGTCCTACACAGAAGCCAAACCCTCCCAAATTGCAGCCTTGTTGAACTCCGCGCTGTGAAAGAACAACCTCGATCGAACCATCTTCCATTTTGAACAGAAGTTTCGCCTTGGTTCGAGCGTAGATGTTCCCGAAGTACTTCACCAAGTGTGGCGTATGAGTGGCCACTGCTGGCAAGATGGAAGATCTGCGCATGCTGTTGTAAGCGTTTTTCCCATCAAAGGAGAGAATGGTGCTGCCTTGCTGGTGGCTGAGGGCTGCTGTGGAAGCCACTATTTCAACTCCTCCTGGAACACCACCTCCGAACTGATTTGCTGCTTCGAAGATGTTCGCAATTCCTCCCTTGTACTGGCGGCAGAAGCTGCCGCTGATGATGCGACGCAAAACCCCTCCAACTGCAATCGGCCGTTTTTTCTCTCCCAGCGCTGAAAGGTTGGCACTGGTGTGGAGGTTCCAAAAGAAATCCGGAAGCTCGTCTCCGTAGTAGAAGACTTTAAAGCTGAAGTCCGCCAAGGTTTCAGTAAAAGAATCACTCATCCCACCAGCTTGGAGATACGAAAAACGAAGACCATCAGGCCCCGGAGCACTCTGAGGGTTGGCTTTCTTTACCGTCTGCTTGATGAACTTGATTTCGAATGGTTCATCAGCTTCGGCGACGGAGTCGATCTTGTGCGTTTTTATACGATCTCTCGCAGCTTTGATGCTGGAATCCCACGCAGTAGCAATATCGTCAGGATCTTCGTTAGGGTGTAGGTTGCGAAGATGCTCCAGCGTGTCGTTGTTGCGCGGTGAAGGTGCTGGGGAAATTAAGGCACTGGCAGCTTTAGTGATGCCTCCGCTTTCGTGCGCAAGTCTTGTGGCTCTTCTTTGGCGATTGTCTTCAGTATCCGCATAATACTGAAGTCGACGATTCTTCTCGTACATCATGAGCCAGGCGATAGGTTCACTCAGATCACCATTTGCAAAGCGGTTAAATCGGGATACCCTGTTCATCCTTCCATCAGTCGATCCATGCAATGCTGGGGTAAGATGAAGCAACTTTGTTGCTCGGACAAGTTGGAGTTGTCTTTCAACACGTGCTACTTCATATCTTTCCGCTGCAAGAGGAGACAGATCTGAGGTATCTGACTTCTGCTGATCTATGTGTACAGCTCCAAGTGCTTGCACGAAGAGGATGACGACATGTTGGAAGTGTTTGCAAAATACTTTCGCCAGTTGCGGATCGATGTGTTTGACTGTCGAAAAAATTGACGTTTCAAGAGTATCTTGTCGAACCTGATCCAGGGCACTGCTGACGTCGTCGAGGTCCCATGGTAATAGGAGTTGCCGCCTGTCGTCATCATCCTCTTGCGGTGGCTGCAACGACCCAGAGAGAGATGGAGACGATGTAGTACCTGGTTCGCAACAATGCTTGGTGCGTGGAGAGAAAAGGTCGCCGCATGTGCCACATGCGGCGTAACCAGGTGCCTGGCTGCTCGAGCGCAAGGATCCAGGAGGAGACAAACTGAGTAGTAGCTCTTTTCCTCGACCTTTATGCTGACGTTTTTGGTGTGTAGCCAGATTCCTCGCCGTCAGGTTCGTTGATCCTTCGCTGATGCAGAGGGGACATGAATACCGTACTTCCGTTGGGCATCGTGGCGCAGGTCCAGGTACGGGTGATGGTGGTGCCAAATCTTGGTTCATGACACCACTCATTGCCGATGCGACTGGAGGCTCCAGTGCAAAGCGATTCCACGCCAGTCCATCAGTATACTGCTGCTGCTGCTACAACCTTCCACCACGCTACTGAGCGTGCGTGGTGGAAGTGGTGATCTCACACGAATTGGCCAAGGGAGAAGTTGTGTGTGTGTGTGTTTTTATTATTAGCATCGACCGCGCTAACCGGCTGACCAATGAAAAGACGTCAGTCTTAGTGCGGTTGAAAACACAAAACACTTCTATCTACCATGAACTGGGACCCCGTGAGGGGGCAGCATGGGGGAGGCTAAACTATCCTTCGGATTAAAAACAGAAACAGCAGCAACAGACGAAAAATGCACGCGTCTACCAAGGCTATTACCTAGTACTCGAGTTCGTTTAGGAGTACTTTCACCAGTGTCCTCCTTGTTTTCGCTACCATCATTCTGATCCTCATTTCGACAAGAAGAATCTCTGGGCAGTTCTTCCCTAGCCCTACGTTTCTTGTTGTGGGGAAGGTCATCTGGCTCAAACCCTTTGCTCTCTTCCACTCCTCCATGTTTTTCTGCTCCATCGTCGTCATCCTCCTTTCTCCCCTTTCCCTTTCCTTCGTCTTCGTCACTCCCAAAAGAATTACCCTCATTACTATCGTTGTCGCAGAGATCCCAACCGATTGGCCCTGGTGGAAGTTGGTCGATCAGTAGCCCATGACGTTTGAACACATCGCGAGTTCGCATCGACAGAAAACGAGCTAGCTCGAAGGTAAACCGTCTCCGAATCCTGTTAGTATGAAAAGCTTTCAGGCGAACTAAGGCCCTCTCGTCGTCAAAATTTTCCCGGCAAAAAGCTTCGTGCGCCAAGTGGTTGGCGATAGCAACGATGAGTCGATTGGTGCCTTTGCCAAGACCACCATTCGTTGAAAAAGCAGCAGTAAGGAGGGTAGATCTAGACGGGTTGAAAGTTCCCGCATAGTGTTTTGCCTTACTTGCAGCTCGATCTTCGAGGGCTGATCCTGGCGTTTGGAGTGACTTGTCGATACTTCGCCTAGCAGATGGATTGACGACTGTGACATCTATAAGGATGGATTTGGTGCAGAGTTCCTCTTCTTTATCTCCTGCGTGTAATCCTGGGGGGATCACTAAATCCATCTTGTAGAGCCCTCTTCCCCTACCAGTGCCTGTAGTAAATGGGGAAGAGTCTTCAACAGCGATTGGCATGTGGCATTCGCGTAATGTCTTTAACAGCACGCGAACCATCCTATTGTGCAGGAAGGTTGAGGCGCCGGTCTTCGCGCAGACCAGGGAATGGGGTCGGCTCAACCGTTCCATACACGGTGACAATGCACCTGCGCTGCAAAGTCTGCCTGTATCGTAGTCAGTTCGGTCGTGACTCCCCAGTACACGACCGATCGATTCTCGATAAAGGTCAGGTAGCATCCGTTCATCCATCGAAAGCCCCTGCGTTGTCAGCCATGATAGAACCCCCTTGTCTTTTGCTTCCTCCAAGCGAATCAAGGCTCTCTTCTTTGAGGTTTCCTGGGATCCTGCTTTTTTCAAGCCTGTTACTACCATATGGCGGACTGCTGCATGAAGGGGCTTCGACAGGACGGCTTGAGCTCCGAAGACTTGATAGTACCGGCCAAATTCATTTCGCCCGCATGTCGACGGAGATGGTGGTTCCTCGTCAGGGTTGTCGTCTCCATTTTGTCTCTCGGCTACTACCTTCCCGGCCTCCATGAGATAAACCCCTCGAAGAGTGGGAGTTAAATCGTCAGATGTAACAAGTTTAGTCCATGACTGACCAACAGCTCTTTCGAGCTTGTCTTTGGTGATGATCTCTTTTAGTTTCTTGAGGGAGTCAATCAGAGCTAATCCTGTTGGTAGCTGTGCAAGTTGCGGTAGGCATTGTTCAATGGTGAGTCCTGTTGATGCCTGCACTGACTTGGAGAACACTAATGCTTGCCCTGCCACAAAAGCCGATTCTCGAATGAGAACATTGCTCGTGATTCCTAGTCCTCCTTCTCGCATGGGTAGGTGCACCTGCGCCCGAGCTGTCCCTTTGAAGAAATCTACCTCCTCGCTCTTCGTCGGGTCTGCGCGTACCTCTTTGACCGTTGGTATTCTCATGCTGTCGGCCATCTTGCCAAGGACGATCTTACTCATTGCCCACATCATCATGTTGTCATGTATTTTTGCGGCAGAGTTGGTGATAGACGGTGCAATCGTCCTCAGCAGATGGAACAAACGTGGCACACCAGATAAACGCAGCAGTTGATAGCTGGCTTGAGGGTCGTCAAGCGTTGCTAGGCGGAGTATCAATTCCGCCGGGTCACCACGGGCGATTTTGGAAACGAAATTCCTCTGGAACTCCTCTGTTCCTACTGGGATCCCGACAACTGGCATGCCACCTTCAGCAACTGACAGACCAATTTTCGTCAATTGTTGCTGTTCGTCGTTTGTCAAAGAGGACATGCAAAGACCTTCCGGGAAAAGCACTTTGGATTTCGGGAGACTGAGCTCAATGCCTTTTTGGGAGAGACGTTCCTGAATCCAATTCGTTACAGTGGATATGGCCTGCATGTTCCTAGCCAAACCTGGTGGAAGATGTGCTTGGAGGTCGTCGACGTATCCGATGAGTTTCACTCCTGGCACTGGTGGCTTGTTGTTGAACTCTTTCATGATATCAAGAAGTCCTACACAGAAGCCAAACCCTCCCAAATTGCAGCCTTGTTGAACTCCGCGCTGTGAAAGAACAACCTCGATCGAACCATCTTCCATTTTGAACAGAAGTTTCGCCTTGGTTCGAGCGTAGATGTTCCCGAAGTACTTCACCAAGTGTGGCGTATGAGTGGCCACTGCTGGCAAGATGGAAGATCTGCGCATGCTGTTGTAAGCGTTTTTCCCATCAAAGGAGAGAATGGTGTTGCCTTGCTGGTGGCTGAGGGTTGCTGTGGAAGCAACTATCGCAACTCCTCCTGGAACACCCACCTCCGAACTGATATGCTGCTTCGAAGATGTTCGCAATTCCTCCCCTGTACTGGCAGCAGAAGCTGCCGCTGATGATGCGACGCAAAACCCCTTCAACTGCAATCGGCCGTTTTTTTTCTTCCAGCGTTGAAAGGTTACTGGTGTGGAGGTTCCAAAAGAAATCCAGAAGCTCGTGTTCGTAGTAGAAGACTTTATAGCTGAAGTCCGCTAAGGTTTCAGTAAAAGAATCACCCATCCCACCAGCTTGGAAATACGAAAAACGAAGACCATCAGGCCCCGGAGCACTCTGAGGGTTGGCTTTCTTTACCGTCTGCTTGATGAACTTGATTTCGAATGGTTCATCAGCTTCGGCGACGGAGTCGATCTTGTGCGTTTTTATACGATCTCCCGCAACTTTGATGCTGGAATCCCACGCAGTAGCAATATCGTCAGGATCTTCGTTAGGGTGTAGGTTGCGAAGATGCTCCAGCGTGTCGTTGTTGCGCGGTGNTGTTCCGGCGTGTCGTTGTTTCGCGGTGAAGGCACTGGCAGCTTTCGTGTTGCCTCCTCTTTCATGCGCAAGTCTTGTGGCTCTTCTTTGGCGATTGTCTTCAGTATCCGCGTAATACTGAAGTCGACGATTCTTCTTGTACATAATGAGCCAGGCGATAGGTTCACTCAGATCACCATTTGCAAAGCGGTTAAATCGGGATACCCTGTTCATCCTTCCATCAGNGCTCTGTCACACTTTCCGCGGTTTTGCTGAAACGCTCATGAGCAGCTCATGAGCGTCTCATGAGCGTCTCATGAGCACCCATGGGACGCTCATGAGCAGGTGATGAGCGTCTCATGAGCGTCTCATGAGCCATGGGCGTCCCATGAGCGTCCCATGAGCGTCTCATGAGCTGCTCATGGGACGCTCATGTCACATGAGCATGAAGCTGCCCATGAGACTCCCACGGGATATGCTCATGAGGCTGCCCATGAGCGCCGCTCATGGGCGCTGAGGAGACGCTCATGAGCCGCTCATGAGGTGCCATCTCATGGGCCATCCCATGAGACGCCCATGAAGAGACGCCCATGGGACAGCTCATGAGACGACCCATCGAACCGCTCATGAGCATCTCATGAGCATCTCATGAGCATCTCATGAGCATCCCATGAGCGTCTCATGAGCCGCTCATGAGCGTCTCACGAGCAGTTTATAGAAACCGCAAGTTGTGTGACAGATTCCGTCGTGACCACGGCTTCATCGTCAGACTCAGAGTCGGAGCTAGAGCACGCATATGCGACGACACCACCTGCGCCGCTTACCATTGTTGTTGCCGTGGATCGCGGGTCGCGGTCTGCGCCGCTGGTGGCGGGTATGCTGGTTCGCTGCTTCTCGCTTTTCTGTGGTGGTCGCTCTGTGCGGTGTGTCCTGTGTTCCTGTGGTCTTGGTCTTCGGTCTTCGGCCTTTTGTCTTTGGGTCTTTTCTCTCCTCTCTTCTTGTACAAAAGTCAAGTAGTTTGAATCAACNATGCTGGTTCGCTGCTTCTCGCTTTTCTGTGGTGGTCGCTCTGTGCGGTGTGTCCTGTGTTCCTGTGGTCTTGGTCTTCGGTCTTCGGCCTTTTGTCTTTGGGTCTTTTCTCTCCTCTCTTCTTGTACAAAAGTCAAGTAGTTTGAATCAACAGTAATCAAGGTTGGTTTAAACAACGATTGTTTTTAATTAACACCGAATCTCCAATCTCCAGATCTACAATTTGTTGTCTGATCTGTGGACTTGAAAGTGAAGAGTTAAAAGACCAAGAGGCTTTGAAGGGGATAAAAAAGCTCTGTTGTTTTGGTTACAATGAAATGTCTGAGCGTCTGAGCCACCCCTTACCCCCATCTCACTCGTGCATAATCACCGCTATGCACGATAACCCCTGTTATGCACACTTTTATGCATAAAATAGTCTATATATATATGCGCGCTCCAACTTATGCTTTTGCTTATGCACGAAAGGCCCCGTTATGCATAAATATAAGCATGCATAACAGGTCAGGGCCTAGGGAGACTCCATGAATGTCCACCAATCTACCACACTCCCAAGGAAAACATAAAAATTATTGTTCCTCCGTAGTTCGACACTGCAAATACCGCATATGTATACGCAATATACCACCCCCATGCTATGCTACGAGTATATCGAATAGCCCCCCTGCTCGTATGCATCGTCATGCTCTGGCAAAATATCAAAGTCATCCTTCTCATACCAGTTCATCCCAAAACACAATCAAAACCACGACAAAATTCCCCAACACCAAAACAATACGTCCGAAAATAATCAATCGCATACCAACTCTTCCAAATCACCAAGAAAAATCCCAAACACTAATTATCCACAACACTACCATCTCCACTTGACTCGCTCCATCTCTTGTTCAAATCCGTACATATCCTCTCTCTTCCACTCCACGGCAAAACACGATTTGATCCCAAAACACTTCTTTCACTGCAAATTCATCATGAAGCAACGCAAAAGATTCCTTGCTGATAGCCTTCGTCAAGAAATCTGCATGCTGAAACTCCGACGTCACATGCGTAATCGAAATCTCCTTCCTCTCTACCAGTTTCCTGATTAAGTGATGCCGTTCATCGATGTGCTTCGAGTTTGAGTTCGTGATCGGGTTGTGCGCAACCTGAATCGCTCCCTGATTATCCTCGAAGACCGGAATGCACGGCATACCTGCATCTGGCAACATAAAACGCCAAACCTGCCTCAAGAAAAGCACTTCCTTCAAGACGTCGGCAATTGCCACATACTCTGCTTCCGTTGTGGAGAGCGTGACGCACTTCTGCGTCCTCGAAAACCAAGTCACACACCCACCCCCACACATCACTAGTCCTCCTGAGACCGACCTACGGTCTGCTGCCTTGCGTACATAGTCGGCATCCACAAACACCTGCATGCTCATGCCAGTGACCACTCCCCTCTCAAATGTAATCCCCATCCAACTCGTCCTACGCACGTACCCTAAAATACCAAGTGCTGCCTTCCAGTGCACCATCTTGGGAGACGCGCAATACCGCGCTACTGCTCGTACTGCATTCGCGATGTCCGGCCTGGTTTGAGTGGCCAACCACATCACGGATCCTACCAACTCACGAAACGGGACATCAGCACACGCTTCGTTCTCGTCCAAGTCGGTGAGCTTCACGCTCACAGGCAAGGGCACACTTTTCCCCCACTCAACGCCGTACTGTGCAGCCAACTCTTCTGCAAACCTTTGCTGCGAGATCCTCAAAAGGCCTCTCTCTAGATCTCTCTGGTAAAAGCACGCGGAGTACCACCTCAACTCCCCAAGGTTTTTCACGGGGACCATCTCGTTGAGGTCACTGCCAAACTTGTCACACCTCTCCTTCTGCCCTACGGCAAAAATGTCATCNTTTCACGGGGACCATCTCGTTGAGGACACTACCAAACTTGTCACATCTTTCCTTCTGCCCTACGGCAAAAATGTCATCCACGTGGACCACAATGATCATGATCACACATCCATCCTCCATCAATCGAAAAACACATGCATCCGCCAAACATTGCACAAATCCTAAAAGTAACAAACACCTCGTCAGGTGCGCATGCCATTGTCGTGATGCCTGCTTCAAACCGTACAGACTCTTGCATAGTTTCACGATCAGTCCAGATAACCTACCACAACCTTGCGGGAGACGCATGAAAACATCCTCTTCAAGTTCAGACTGCACAAATGCCTGCTGAATATCGAAATGGCACAAGTCAAGGTTCTGCTCACATGCCAATGCTGCCAACAAACGCACACTAGACACGGATACGGTGGGTGCAAACAATTCTCCAAAATCAATCGAAGCCCTCTGCATGTCCCCTCGCGCTACAAGTCGTGCCTTGAATTTCGTCGGCCATCCGTACTCGTCTGCCTTACAGTTGAATACCCGCTTGGCGTTGATGAAATTTTCTACTGGTTGCTACACCGGACTAAAAGTACCTGCATCCAGCAGACCGAAAAACTCCCGACCGACTGCATCATCCCACAACTCTGAATGTTGAGACCGCATGGCCTCCTTGAACGTTTTCGGCACTCGGAGGTCGCTGGCGAGGCAGTGAGGAAGGTCCGGCGTCTTGTCAGGAGGTCGCTTGGCACGAAGAGTGGCTTCCACATCCTCGCGGGTGGCGAACATTGCTGCGAACATGTGCAGGCCCCCCGGCCCCCCAGCTCCTGCGGCCCCCCCGCTCCCATGGCCTGCTAAACTCGTATCTTGCGGCGGTGGGGGAGCGGGAGGGGCGATGTTGGCGGACGGTGGCAGG